CCGCCGTGATATTACTGGAATATTGCTAAAAGCGGTGTAAAACCATACTCACTCACTCACTCACTCACTTCAGCAACCCATGCTTGCCGTAACTGGCGACAATGCTTCTCGGAAAAGGCGACTAACTGGATTGGGTGGTCAGGCTCGCTGACATGTATACCCATGTTATTGTGTAATATGGAAATTATAGTCGACTATACTCGTTTCTATTTGATGTGGTCACAAACGGCTGTCAAAATGAACAAAAAACTTATTTTAAGCCATAATTCGCTTGTTGACTTCCATCAAGTATTTTGATTTCTCGTCGGTATTTATATATATGTTTGGTGCAATATCTTGGTGTCAAATGCTGTTACACAGGACACTAGTCGAGAAATATTACTGTCACAAGCAATAAGATGCGATCTCTATATCACTTGTTGGTTTGGTTGGTTTGCTGTTTAACGCCTCACTCAGAAATATTCTAGCCATATGACGGCTGTCTGTAAATAATCGAGTCTGGACCAGACAATCCAGTGGTTAATATCATGAGCATCTATTCACGCAATTGGGATCGATGACATGCTTCAACCAAGTCAGCGAGCCAGACCACCCGATCCCGTAAGTCGCCTCTTACGACAAGCATCGTCGCCTTTTACGGCAAGCATGGGTTGCTGAAGACCTATTCTACCCCGGATCTTCACGGGTCGTTCTCACTTGTAAATTGAAACTGTTGGGGAAACCATTGGGAAACCATTTTTATAAGGTTATTCCCTGACGTTGTAGAATTTTGTCAACCAACATTGTTTTCCAAGACGGTATGCATCTCACCAGACGTGTTATGTACAGTAAATAGTCTGTCAAATACCTTTGACATGTTTTACACATTATATAGATCCGTGGAGATCCGGGTAAAGTTTTGGCGACTATGCTTGTCGTAAGAGGCGAGTAACGGGGTCGGGTGGTCAAGTTTGCTGACTTGGTTGATGCATGTCATCGTATCCCAATTGCGTGGATAGATGTTCACTATTTCAATCACTGGATTGTCTGGTCCAGACTCGATTATTTACAGACCGCCGCCATATCGCTTGAATATTGCTGCGTGCGGCGTTAAACAAACACAAGCATATTTATAATTACATGAATAGCTATTGTTACAAATTAGAAGGATTTATATCACGCAAAAAAGTATTAATCTGGAGAAGTAGGCATATTTTGATAACATTTCTAAGAATAAAGTATTCAAAGTACTCTTGAGATTAATAAACACTTGTTTATCTGGGTTTACTCTGAAAATTTCAGGTACTAGTATGTATTTGTCTTGAAAAAAGAGAGCATATCTTCGACATTCTAAAAGGTAGTATCCATTTCAATAACATATTTATTCCAATTGCGTGGATCGATGTTCATGATGTCAATCACTGGATTGTCTGATCCTGATTCGATTATTTACAGACCGCCGTCATATAGCTGGAATATTGCTGAGTGCGGCGAAGTAGGAGAAGTAGGCATATTTTGATAACATTTCTAAGAATAAAGTATTCAAAGTACTCTTGAGATTAATACAAACTTATTTATCTGGGTTTACTCTGAAAATTTCAGGTACTAGTATGTATTTGTCTTGAAAAAAGAGAGCATATCTTCGACATTCTAAAAGGAAGTATTCATTTCAATAACATATTTGTTTTAAAAATATGCAAAGACGTAATTGGTTTGATATATGGCCCCAAGGACGTGGAATCCGAGGACGTGGAGAAGGATCCATTGATCTGATGAAAACAGATTCTTACCAATGCAACATTTTAATGTTCGGCTACGATATCCGCCATTATGGATTGGTCGCTTCGCTTTCGGCAGGCTGTCGGCTTGTTTAAATCAGAGACTCGCAGATCGCGTATTTTAGTCGCTGTTTACCCTTATATATAATAAAATAATATTTATGAAAACGTTGCGAGATTTTTTTAATATTGATTAGAAACATTGGTCCGGCTAGTCAAAGTGGTCCTTTACACACGTCACAGATAGGCGAATGTGGGGTTGGAGAGACAAAATCACTGCTTATACCTCCAGGAACATTGTATGAGGGGTGTTCAATAAGTTTTGCAACTTCAATATAAGACCAAGTCGCAGAATATCTTTTGCACTTTTATTTTTCAATATAATCTCCATTCACCTCCATATACTTATTCCATTTCTCCTTCAAGATTTTAATTCCACTTTTATAGAAACTCGCAGATTGGCCCTCTAACCACGACTCTGTGGCAGCCTTTATGTCCTCCTCATCCTGGAAGCGTCTTTCACGTAGTGCAGATTTCATTTGCTGGAACAGGAAATAGTCACTGGGGGCTAAGTCTGGGCTGTACAGTTACATCACCCACCCTATTCCCAGATCCATCGTTTTCGTGGTTATCAATTTGGCTCCAATGCAGTGTCATCCCAGTTGTGTTGGTTGACAGTAATAACAGGACCATGTGACCAAGGACATGTTTTTTCACAGGGAAGGTAATTAAACCTTTTGCCAATTAAGACGTAACTCAAAAAGAATACTTTGTTGCGGGATAAAGAACAGTTGGCAACCTTGATCTTTTAGTGAAAATCTTAGCAAAGTATTCATATTACTGCCCCCAAGAATGAGCTGCAACAAATTACTGACAATAAATTCACCCCTATCTTGTTGCAATGTGATCCCTGGCAAAAGTCGATTTTCGGTATGGCAGCATTCAGGCTGTGATTGGGGGCACGGGTGGCCCAGTCGTCTATGGTGCTGCGATTCGCTGTGCAGAGTTGCATCCCTTGGGCATGCCAGAAACCTATGATTGTGGGTTTGAATCCCCCTTCGCCCCGATTATGTTTCTAGGTTTGTCAGCACCATACCCATGCTCGTGGGTTTCACCAAAGTGCTAAACGTCTGAGACTCGCATCACTTCGTGCTTTCCTCCCACATTAAGCTGACACACAGCGATTTAACTGGTATACTGTTAAAAGCAGCGTGAAACCCAACTCACTCACTCACTCACCCAGGCTGTGATACCAGTTGCTGAATAAAGCATCATGTTAATGTTTATATAAATAGCATCTTGCTTTGATAACAATACATAAAACTCCACACTTTGGTCCACATTAAACATAAGGATTTATTCTACAGAAACAACTTACACCAATTACATTCAATCATATCAAATACTTTTCACACATAAATAAATATGTTCTCATGCGATGTACAAAACTGAAATTCATAACGGACATTGACATTAAGGCCATAATCGTCATTGCAAATGCCAAATGCACATGCTATGTTTAAAGGGAAATAATTCATGTCCAATCTTAATCTTCAGCATTCTCGTCAGTCTTTGTCTCATTACCTATCGAAACAAAATCAGGATCCATGACTGAGACTTCTGAACAAGAATCATCCACTTCACAAGCCTGGGTTGGACATTATCATTTTTGCAAAGTAGAAATATTTTGTGACTAACATTTCTCAGGTAGCATTTTGACTTCCACATGAAAATATAAGTACCATGAGTTACATCTGAGTAAATAGTCAGAAACGCAATCCCATGTTCAAAGAGTGACATTAGCCGAAATAATTGAATAACCACTGTTAGATGCATTTATCAGCTCCAAAGTGATGTTCAAGGAAGCATAATACACTTCTAAGTGCCATTTATTTTAATTAGCTATATATCGTATTAACGTCAAATACTTTACGGTGTATACCGTTTTAATGAGGTCTTTTACATGCAATTTTTCACAAAAAACATGTCAATAATAAGAATTCTAATGAAAAGTTAAACATTAGTGTCGATGCCCGAAAGAAAGTGTACAAAGAGGGAGACATACAAATATCAAACTAAGATAGGTCCTAATAATCAAATAATGATACAGATCTGCATTTACACAAAAGAATATAAACGTCTGCTTAGTGGATTAAAATAATGATACAAAATAGAACCACCTGATGTTTATACACAACTTTGTCATGAACGACTTGTAATGTATTGAAATACTTCCTGGGGAATTATGAAACATTTCCAGAAAGACTTCATTTTTTGGTGATATTTGTTGTACAATTTGTACAATATTTTCTCGCTACTCTAATCACCTTAATCTATCAGTTGTTTTTGAAATTGAAATACTTGAATCTTGGACAGTTGTTTTCATGGTGGAATCACAACTCATGGCCAATGAACTGTTGTGGGGATGAAAATATCATACCGTATACGACGTAATAAGCGCCCCGCTCTAATAAGCGCCCACAGCGATATTTGCTGATATATTGGCTAGTGAACAATCCCAATTAGCACCCTTTCCGATTGATCAATGTAGACAAGACTTATTTATTCGCGTATAATACACACTGGTGTGTTATATGCACCTAATATGGGCAATTAAATTCTAGAAAAATACATCTGTCGTACATACACATTTCAGGCTGTCAGCATAAACAACGAAATTTATCTTTCAAATCTGTTTTCTTTCACCAAAATATTATTCTAATAAGAGACCCCTATTTCTAATTTTGGGCGCTTAATACGTCGAATACGGTAATTCATAAACAGTTATTAATTACGATGTGCGGTTATTTACCGATTCCTTCTACTCGTCAGTACATGAGCTTCCACAGATGTAATTCATTCTCCCATTTAACACATCTATTACCTATCAATAACTGAACATTATGACCATTGCTTTCAGCACAGTCAAGAATAAACAACCTTTATCTGTGAATTAACAAAAACATTTTTTTTATAAAAGACAAAAAAAAATATTTTGTTTACTGAGACAATAATGAGAAGTAAACAACTAGGAAACCAACATGAGGATATGTACAGTTATGTGTAACCATGGTAACAATTATATCATAAAACATGCAGTCATTGTAAACTCTATATAGTGGAATGATGTTAGCTGACTTCATACAACAATGCATATCAAATATGTCTCAAATATCTTTGTTTCTAGAGTAACAAGTAAGTGAAATTTATTACGTTGTTCATAGATAGTCATTATTTGTCAAGCCCTGGGATCTATGCATCTAAAACATGTCATACAGACACAAAGTTACACACATCAAAGAAATGTAAGTGCTACATGTGATGAGTGAGTGAGTATTGTTTTACACAACTTTTAGCAATATTCCAGCAATATCACGGCGGAGGACACCAGAAATGGGCTTCACACATTGTACCCATGTCAGGAATCGAACCCGGGTCTTCGTGACCGAACGCTTTAACCACTAGGCTACCTGACCGCCCCGCTACATATGAAGAGCAAAGTCAATTTCTAACATTCACAAGATCCTAAATATAACAGTGATTATCAGTGAATTCTAATTCTGCCATGTTTTGCACGTTGTATATCCAGAAATGTCATAACTCACCCAAATGTATGTCTACATCCCACAATACAAAACAACTTCAACTCAGTAGAAACAGCAGTATTTAAGTCAAATGTAGCACATAGTTGTCGCATGTTGTTTTGCAAGCAATAATACTGATACCACTTTTTTATGCTATATTTCAGGGCGGTTGGGTAGCCCAGTGGTTAAAGCGTTCGCTTGTCACGCCGAAGTCCCGGGTTTGATTCCCAACATGGGTACATAGTGTGAAGCCCATTTCTGGTGTCCCCTGCCGTGATATTGCTGGAATATTGCTAAAAGCGTAAAACCATACTCACTCACTCACTTATGCTATATTTCAAATAGATCCTAGGGCTTGTTTTCCTAATGAAAGGTGTTAAGTTAACAAATCAGAGCCCAATTTCAACAAGATGTTGTAGCAATATGAATGCCATGATTGCTTTCGGGAATGACGCCATGAATTCCATGTTATCAAGGTTGTCTTAAAAGAATTTAAACCTACTTTGAAAACTGAAACATAGATACTTGTGACAAATAATGTTAACATAAGCAAATTAATATCACTCAAAAGCTTTAAGACAATATACAAACTATCAGTTTCTAACAATGCACCATTATCAACAGCTGAGGGTGGATAATGGGTCGGGTCGGGTCAGTGAGGGCTGGGTGGTTGGTATTGCTGTTAACTGAAGCAAGTTATGTCTGCAGTCTAAAGATAGGGTTCATAATTATGGCATAAATATTATTATTTGAAAGAGAAGTAACACGTTAAAAGTGAGATCACTCATTAAAAGAGCAGTAATTGATGAGAAGAGGAGAAAACACAATTAGAGAAGTTACAGGTATCAGGAGGCTGGTGAAAAGAGAGGTAACTAAGGGAGATAAGAAGGCTGATAGAAGGGAGATAACTCAGTAGATAGAAGCCACCCAGCTGGTAAAGGGAGATAACTGTATAGTGTTTCTGACTGGTGCACAATATCCACCCACCATTCCTCATATTGCTGTGGACAGCCAATGGTACAGTCGGGTCAAAATAACAGTAGAGATTGACAAGCAACATTGAATTTGTACATTATATCAAAACCATTCCAAGTACTCAGGACATTGACCGAAGGAATTATGTTTGTGGATTTTTGGCCCCAAAATTAAGGTTTGCAGGTCAAAATATATTTCTTCTAAATTCCAATTTCAATTATTTATTTCTCTCGTGAATCGTAATTTGTTTTGAAGTGTTAAAATGAATATAAATTTTCAACAGTTTTAATGATCGTATTTTAAATGTGTTAATATTGATAGCAACAGTAAATGAGTAGTTGTATTTACATTTTACTTAATTCTGGTCAGCGGAATATAAAACCAAATGCTTTTTATTTATTATTTTTTCACATTTCGCTCTTTTGGATTCAGCAGAAACATGTGGCCTTAATTGTGTTTAACCCTTAACCCAGAGCTATCCTCACTATATGGCCAGGGTTGATCTTGGTCATGTCAGGAGAATGTCTTTGTTCGTGAAAAAGTGTAATCAGAAAGGTCAAAAGTCATCTCTCTAACTTAGAATGGGCAATCATTCTGTGGCAAGTGAGCTATCTTGCCCAAGACAAAAGTACAAAATGGGAAAATATCAGATTAAGATTCCATATCTGGACAAGAAACTTTACTACAAAAATAACAACTTGATATAAAATATGACACAACTTTGAGAAATGGTTTCAGTGAAAAACTTGAAATTTTACGTAATGTGAAGCAAGCCCAATTCAAACTTTAAATGCTGATTCGATGTGGGCTGTATTGAGCTTTGAAATTAATCAACACTTTTGGCCATGATATCAAAGCACCACAATAACAATTTGGTATTTCAAATAATGCCTCAAAAAGCTACATATGTTAACTAAATGATTCAAATTATTCAATATACACAAATAAAACTGTTCAGCACATAACTAGCTCTCTACATGAGCAATCATAGCAAGGCATTTGAGTTGCCTCCCTTGGACAACGCAATCCCAAATGGATCAGTCATTTTCATAACTAGAGCGTTTATAAAAGAAAGCTGAGCAAGCAATAAAGAAAATACAATTTGATTGAGATATAAAATGTACACAATATCATGGTTAGCGTATCAAAAGTACAAATCTTACACTGCCATCAATGACATATATAGGACATTATACAGTAATAAAACTATTATTTCTGTGTTTTAACATAGAACTTATCTACAGATCTAAGACCATGAACAGTCTAAAATGTTTCTCATCAATGTGCAAGTCCTCCAAAAAATGCTCACCATTTGTCAACAGGGTGATCAATATTTGTTGGTTTGATGGAAAAATAATTGGTTTGAATATGAATGTCCAGATTGCCCGGATCATAAATACATAGGATGAGTTGCGAGTTATCTTTTATGCCGACTGAGGACAGAGGACATAAAAGCCTCACCTGGTCATTTTGGAAATAAGTTTCTAATGAAAAACATGTTTTTCTGTCAAGACTTAAGTCTGTTTGAAATCATAGAAATCATTGTTTTAACGAAAACGAGTAACATCACTGCAAGTGTTAGTTTATCAATATTGAGAATGAAATTTTATACAACAGAAATGATACAATCTGCACCGTGTAGTAAGTTGTAGCAAGCACATAACACAAGGAAAAGCATTGCACAAACCCTGCTTCAAATGAATGAATCTGCCAAATGAGACCAAACACGCCACCCCTTCCCCGAAAACAGCTTATCATGTGTTAACACGTCACCCCTTCCCAGAAAACAGCTTATCATGTGTTAACACGCCACCACTTCCCAGAAAACAGCTTATCATGTGTTAACACGCCACCCCTTTCCAGAAAACAGCTTATCATGTGTTAACACGCCACCACTTCCCAGAAAACAGCTTATCATGTGTTAACATGCCACCCCATCCCAGAAAACAGCTTATCATGTGTTAACACACCACCCCATCCCAGAAAACAGCTTATCATGTGTTAACACGCCACCCGATCCCAGAAAACAGCTTATCATGTGTTAACACACCACCCCATCCCAGAAAACAGCTTATCATGTGTTAACACGCCACCCCTTCCCAGAAAACAGCTTATCATGTGTTAATATGCCACCCCATCCCAGAAAACAGCTTATCATGTGTTAATATGCCACCCCATCCCAGAAAACAGCTTATCATGTGTTAACACGCCACCCGATCCCAGAAAACAGCTTATCATGTGTTAACACGCCACCCCTTCCCAGAAAACAGCTTATCATGTGTTAACACGTCACCCCTTCCAAGAAAACAGCTTATCATGTGTTAACACATCCCCCCTTCCCAGAAAACAGCTTATCATGTGTTAACACGCCACCCCTTCCCAGAAAACAGCTTATCATGTGTTAACACGTCACCCCTTCCAAGAAAACAGCTTATCATGTGTTAACACATCCCCCCTTCCCAGAAAACAGCTTATCATGTGTTAACACGCCACCCCTTCCCAGAAAACAGCTTATCATGTGTTAACACGTCACCCCTTCCCAGAAAACAGCTTATCATGTGTTAACACATCCCCCCTTCCCAGAAAACAGCTTATCATGTGTTAACACGCCAACCCTTCCAAGAATACTTTTTGCAGAACAATTCCGAAGCGGACATTTTGTACTCAACTCTTGAAACTTACAGCGGGTACCTGGGTAGGGTCGGGAAATGGGGGTTGGGGTACCCGTGTGGTAAATTTGGACTCATTTCATCCTAATCACATCAGGTGCAGCAACAACAGGCTCACCCCACTCCATGTAGTGATGTTGGGAATACAACCCAGGTCTTTGGTGTTACAAGTGAATGTCCAAGTCTACCGGTAGTCAACCCAACTGCCCCTAAACAATACAGAGCTACTATTTGGGGATGAATTGAACAATTAAGAATGATTAACTTTAAAACAATTAATGTCGTTGTCTACAATGTCTTGTGAGTTCCTGAAGCTTACAGCAACCTCCATTCTTGCATCTTGTCTTCATGATCAGAGCAGTTGTCTCCCCTTGTCCATCAACACGATCGCTTGACAGACTGTCAGAATTCGATCGATCCAGTCAACAAATTTAACAACTTTAACATTTGTACATCATGATGTTTGGATTTCCATAATTTTCTGCTCTGAAGGACTGAAGTACTGAGAGCTATTTCTTCCTCTTTAGCAACTAAGTTACCATTAGATTTCACCTCATCTATGGATGTTACGTTTGCAATGCATAACCTCAAAATAATATATAAACTAAGAGATGATAAAACAGAAAAAAACTATTTTACCTTTTAACCTAAAAACAACATAAAAATATTAATGAATGTGTTGAAGTAAAGTTTTGAGAAATAAAATTATTTCAGTTGTCAAAACTTATAAAACAAGCTAAAACACTGAACTTAAAACAATCCTATACCTGAATATTAAACTAAGAAAACAGAACAACAAATAGTCACAAAATATTTTGCGTGACTGGTCTCATTTTGCCCCTCATAACTAAAAATACTGCTAACGTTTTAAAAAGAACATTGAATTTCTATTCCTAAAACCAATTAAAAGTCTGAAAAGAGTATTCCAGAGTGGAAACATTCTAATTTGAGCAAACATATGGTAAAAAAGGCTGGACTAAACTCCACAAGTCTTGTTTGTAGTGTGGAAGCCGAAGGTACCACATTTAAAGTCAAATTAAGGACAATAATGGACACACAATGTATATTATCTGCCAAAGAAATTGTTCAGTCCGATTATCTTGCTTTTATCAAAAATTACTTTCCATTCATTTAATATAATTTGATATCATTACTGATTAAGAAACAAGCTTTAGGGTGTATTTGTCTGCTTGTATTTAGCTGTATTGTCATCTATTCCCCAAGGGTAAGCAAATGTTCAAATAATCCAAAATATCACAATTGAAAAACATCTGGAAATAAATATGAAAATGCAAACAGTCCTAGTTTTTACTCTGCTAGATCTTTCAAACTCTGCTAGATCTTTCAAACTCTGCTAGAACTTTCAAACTCTGCTAGATCTTTCAAACTCCGCTAGAACTTTCAAAGATATAGAACATAACCTCACACTAAGAAAGGGTCTCTGAAGGTTAAGGGTACAAGAGCATGACCCTCCTCAATTACTGGGTTTAGAAATGGTTTAATTTGAACACACTATTGAGACAGAAATATTTCATACATCGACATCCAGAGAGTAGGAAACAAGTAATACTTATACCTATAACAAGAAAAGGTACTTGGATTTAATACAGCCTTCCTTTTCTCATATATCAAACTGAACCTGACTATCGCAGTGATTAAACTAAGCAGCAAAGCATTAGCTTATCAATATTTCTAAAAGAAAATATTCCATTACTTTACAGACAGTGTGATTGTAAGTGGCTGGTGTTAACACTTCAGGATTCAAAGGTGGGGCCAGAAGCGTAGAACATGTGGCCCTTACCAAGGACAAGCAACATCCACACAGTACACCTAGTATAGAGATTCTGCAAGTCCCAGTTCATTGTTGTCAAGATCACACAAATCTTTTTCCTTCAGTTATGTTATCAAAACTAATCAAAATCTACAGCGCAGCATGCTGGATGACATATATACATTATCAGGGCTGCAATGAAGAAAGTGTACGAGCCCTAACTGAGCATGAGTAACATCGGGATCAACCTCAATGAATATTCTTAATGTATGACCAGCAAACATATAGAACAAACTTAGCACATATATTACTCTTGTCGCCTGTTCTTTTCAGTTGGGGACATCTGAATTGATATTTGTCGCACTGAAAGGGTGTTTTTCTCACAGTTTCTTTCTTTATTCAACATCAGCAAAGCTAATGATCCGAGAATGACCACAAAGCCAAAAAGCGGACAAAGCTACACAAAAATTCAAAGGATCACTTAAAAAATTGGTGCCATTATTTTCTTTGAACAATAATTCAAAGATCAGCTGTCCTCGAATAATTAAACAAGCCCTTCAATGACCTCTTCAAGCTAAATGGATCAGGACATGAGAAAATTGTTTGCTTTCATCTTTCGGATAAGTTCTAAATGTTCTATGTTCAAATGACAGGAATATGTCTGGGTATGTCGAGGAAGCATGTCCATGTATGGTAAACATTTAACACCTTTATCATAATTGTTTCCAAAACATACATGCATTCCCCTCATCTTCACACAAACTTTGACATTGCGAGGATGATGAAGACTTTTTGGGAGAAATTTCCTCAATTATGCTCCTCCCAGACCAAACAGTGTGTGTGAGTTGCCCTGTTGTAGATGATTGACACAATGTGATCCAATGGCAGGTGTGATGTGATGGTGTGCGGGGTGGTCTATCTGTAGTAGTCACGGTAGTCGCCGCGGGAGGGGTAGGGGGACTTCTCCTGGTTGTGGGCCATGTCGTACACGATCTCCTCCGGCTGCGGGATGTACAGGCTGTTGAGCACCTTCAGCAGGCAGGAGATGAGGATCAGGGTCACGACCTGTGGAGATAGTGGTAGATACTGAACTGTGGTACCGGTAGATACACAGCTGATAACAGATGTAGAACCGTGGAGTAACGGTAGATACACAGCTGATAACAGATGTAGAACTGTGGAGTAACGGTAGATACAGAGGAGATAACAGATGTTGAACTGTGGAGTAAGGGTAGATACAGAACTGGAGTAACGGTAGATACAGAGGTGATAACAGATGTAGAACTGTGGAGTAAGGGTAGATACAGATCTGGAGTAACGGTAGATACAGAGCTGGAGTAACGTAGATACAGAGGTGATAACAGATGTTGAACTGTGGAGATAAGGGTAGATACAGAGGTGATAACAGATGTAGAACTGTGGAGTAAGGGTAGATACAGAGGTGATAACAGATGTAGAACTGTAGAGTAATGGTAGATACAGAGGTGATAACAGATGTAGAACTGTGGAGTAACGGTAGATACAGAGCTGATAACAGATGTAGAACTGTGGAGTAACAGTAGATACAGAGCTGATAACAGATGTAGAACTGTGGAGTAAGGGTAGATACAGAGGTGATAACAGATGTAGAACTGTGGAGTAATGGTAGATACAGAGGTGATAACAGATGTAGAACTGTAGAGTAATGGTAGATACAGAGCTGATAACAGATGTAGAACTGTGGAGTAATGGTAGATACAGAGGTGATAACAGATGTAGAACTGTGGAGTAACGGTAGATACAGAGCTGATAACAGATGTAGAACTGTGGAGTAACGGTAGATACAGAGGTGACAAACAGATGTAGAACTGTGGAGTAACGGTAGATATAGAGGAGATAACAGATGTAGAACTGTGGAGTAATGGTAGATGCAGAGGTGATAACCGATGTAGAACTGTGGAGTAACGGTAGATATAGAGGAGATAACAGATGTAGAACTGTGGCAATAAGGGTAGATACGGAGCTGATAACAGATGTAGAACTGTGGAGTAATAGTAGATACAGAGGTGATAACAGATGTAGAACTGTGGAGTAACGGTAGATACAGAGCTGATAACAGATGTAGAACTGTGGAGATAAGGGTAGATACAGAGGTGATAACAGATGTAGAACTGTGGAGTAACGGTAGATACAGAGGTGATAACAGATGTAGAACTGTAGAGTAATGGTAGATACAGAGCTGATAACAGATGTAGAACTGTGGAGTAACGGTAGATACAGAGGTGATAACAGATGTAGAACTGTGGAGATAAGGGTAGATACAGAGGTGATAACAGATGTAGAACTGTGGAGTAATGGTAGATGCAGAGGTGATAACCGATGTAGAACTGTGGAGTAACGGTAGATATAGAGGAGATAACAGATGTAGAACTGTGGCAATAAGGGTAGATACGGAGCTGATAACAGATGTAGAACTGTGGAGTAATAGTAGATACAGAGGTGATAACAGATGTAGAACTGTGGAGTAACGGTAGATACAGAGCTGATAACAGATGTAGAACTGTGGAGATAAGGGTAGATACAGAGGTGATAACAGATGTAGAACTGTGGAGTAACGGTAGATACAGAGGTGATAACAGATGTAGAACTGTAGAGTAATGGTAGATACAGAGCTGATAACAGATGTAGAACTGTGGAGTAACGGTAGATACAGAGGTGATAACAGATGTAGAACTGTGGAGATAAGGGTAGATACAGAGGTGATAACAGATGTAGAACTGTGGAGTAACGGTAGATACAGAGGTGATAACAGATGTAGAACTGTAGAGTAATGGTAGATACAGAGCTGATAACAGATGTAGAACTGTGGAGTAATAGTAGATACAGAGGTGATAACAGATGTAGAACTGTGGAGTAACGGTAGATACAGAGCTGATAACAGATGTAGAACTGTGGAGATAAGGGTAGATACAGAGGTGATAACAGATGTAGAACTGTGGAGTAACGGTAGATACAGAGGTGATAACAGATGTAGAACTGTGGAGTAACGGTAGATACAGAGGTTATAACAGATGTAGAACTGTGGAGTAACAGTGGATATAGAGGAGATAACAGATGTAGAACTGTGGAGTAATGGTAGATACAGAGGTGATAACAGATGTAGAACTGTGGAGTAACGGTAGATATAGAGGAGATAACAGATGTAGAACTGTGGAGTAACGGTAGATACAGAGGTGATAACAGATGTAGAACTGTAGAGTAATGGTAGATACAGAGCTGATAACAGATGTAGAACTGTGGAGTAATAGTAGATACAGAGGTGATAACAGATGTAGAACTGTGGAGTAAGGGTAGATACAGAGCTGATAACAGATGTAGAACTGTGGAGATAAGGGTAGATACAGAGGTGATAACAGATGTAGAACTGTGGAGTAACGGTAGATACAGAGGTGATAACAGATGTAGAACTGTGGAGTAACGGTAGATACAGAGGTTATAACAGATGTAGAACTGTGGAGTAACAGTAGATATAGAGGAGATAACAGATGTAGAACTGTGGAGTAATGGTAGATGCAGAGGTGATAACAGATGTAGAACTGTGGAGTAACGGTAGATATAGAGGAGATAACAGATGTAGAACTGTGGCAATAAGGGTAGATACGGAGCTGATAACAGATGTAGAACTGTGGAGTAATAGTACATACAGAGGTGATAACAGATGTAGAACTGTGGAGTAACGGTAGATACAGAGGTGATAACAGATGTAGAACTGTGGAGTAACGGTAGATACAGAGGTGATAACAGATGTAGAACTGTGGAGTAAAAGTAGATACAGAGCTGATAACAGATGTAGAACTGTGGAGTAACGGTAGATACAGAGCTGATAACAGATGTAGAACTGTGGAGATAAGGGTAGATACACAGCTGTGTAGAACTATGGAACTAATGGTCAGAGAAAGTCATGTAGCAGTCATCTATAGAAAATATTTCTATATATTTTTCTTATAATAGTGAAAAACTCTGAAATCATGGCTTAAACTTTGAAGCTATGTTCAAGTCTGAAAATATGTAAAATCATCAAAACCCAGCTTACCTCAATAACAAATGTTGCTATGCCAATCCCAACTACAGTGTAGATGTGATCGGAGAAGAAAGTCGAGAGGGCTTTGCCACAACCCTGTAAGTAAAAGTAAACTTGCTAGTCAGAGACAAGTAATAGTGTTATATGTCACAGCCAGCAATATTATAGCTACATCATATCTACCTGTAAACATGCATGAAATACTCATATCCCGCCTATATGATATGTCAGGTTGTGTGCCAGGCAAGAAATATTGTACGGTTTTCAAGATCTCCGGAGAGAAACGGGCACCACAGTCATTTTCAGTAGAAGTCAAAGTTGTTGGAATGGTAACTCGAAAACTAAATTTTTTAAAAAGCCCAAACTATCAAAAGGCACCAGTTCACCACTAGACCTATCTATGTGCCAAGTTTGGTTAACATATCTCTCATGGTTTTTGAGTTCTGCTCTGGAAACAAAACCTGACGGACAGCACCCATTCCTATAAATATCTTCCACTTCGTGGTGGGGAATAATAACTACCGTATTCAACATAATAAGCGCCCAGGGCGCTCTTAAAATTAGGAATAGGGGGTTCTTATTAGAAAATTATTTTGGTGAAAAAAAACAGTTAAAAGATCATAAATTTCGTTGATTATGCAGACAGCCTGAATAATATAACATGACAAACATATTTTTCCAGAATTTAATTGCCCGTAATTAAGGGTGCATATAACACAGGAGTGTGTATTATACATGAATAAATAAGTCTTGTGTACATTGATCAATCGGAAGGGGGGGAAATTGGGATTGTTCACTAGCCAATATATTAGCAAATATCACTGTGGGTGCTTATTAGAGCCGGGCGCTTATTACGTCGAATATGGTAAGTCAGGACCAGATACACCAGGCTGGATAGTGTAAGGCATCGATTCATTCTATGACTTAAAGACACATAATTAGCATGTATCTTTTGGTGGTTATTCATCCATCTAATCACAGGGTTAGAATAGGTCCCCAACAATTATGCATGACATTCAAGGCAACTTAATGGATCGCGTTGTCAGGCTTGGTGATTGTATGTCATCATACATGGACGACATGGGACATTGCTGATAATTTTATCAACACCGGTCTGTCTGGCTATTTACATGCTGCTGTATACAGCAGGAATATTGCCGAGTGCAGCCAGTCAGGGCTGGGTTGGTTGGTTGGTTGGTAAACGCCGCACTCAGCAATATTGGGGCGGTCGGGTAGCCTTGTGGTTAAAGCGTTCGCTCATCACGCCAAAGACCCGGGGTCGATTCCCGACATGGGTACAATGTGTGAAGCCCATTTCTGGTGTCCCCCGCCGTGATATTTCTGGAATATTGCTAAAAGCTGCGTAAAACCATACTCACTCACTCACGCAGCAATATTCCAGCTATATGACAGCGGTCTGTAAATAATCAAGTCTGGACCAGACAATCCAGTGATTGATATCATGAGCATCGATCCACGCAATTGGGATCGGTGACATGTATCAACCAAGTCAGCGAGCCTGACCACCCGATCCCTTTTACGACAAGCATAGTCACCTTTTACGGCAAGCATGGGTTGCTGAAGACCTATTCTACCCCGGAATCTTCACGGGACGTCTGGGCAAACCAGTGGTTCATAGCATTAACACAGATCCCTGATGTACAAGGACATAGAATCAGTCAGTCAAACATTGTGACCATCTGACCCATCTGACCATCATCCTTAAATCAGATGTACTGTGGATTTCTTCTGCCCTGAAGTCCTGCTATCAGCTATCAGATGCAAAGAACAAGCTTATTCATGATGTCAAACCCTGTATTGTCTGCTCCATATTGACTATTTACAGACAGACGTGTCATACAGCCAGAACATTGCTGGTGTCTTAAATTAACTTCAAATTAATATATAGCGAGTGATTTGGGGGCCTTTGATTGGTTAACCAAGCAATTTGTTACACACTCATATTTCCATAAACCAAAAATAGGCCAAGCCTACTAATGGACAACTGTTTCCTGACTGGCCAATAATAGAATGGGCGAGGCTTGTGTTGCATTATCACGCCCAATCATGTCACGGATCGTGCCTTGGTTTCTTTGTGTTATTGATTAAATAAGCATTCGTAATCGTACAAACAGATGTGTACACTTTGTGTAAATCACTAACATGGATTTACACAATATGCACACAGGTTTCTACGCAAATACCTTCATAAACGCAAAAACAAAGATTGAAGTCTAATTGTCTCCACTATACCATTACATTGCCATAACCCTTAATTTGTAATACTCCAGTTATCTCCCTTTGGTCACTTCAATGCAATGAAGAGAGTATATAGCAAAGGAATTTTGTATTCTTTGTTTGTTTTATTTGTGGTGTAAAGCCGCACAAAGTATTATTCCAGCTATATGACGGCGGTCGGTAAATCATCAAATCTGGGTCAGACAATCCAGTGATTGACATCATGAACATTGATCCACGTAACTGGGATACGATGACATGCATCAAAAAGTCAGCGAGCCTGACCACCCAATCCCGTTAGTCGCCTCTTACGACAAGCTTAGTCGCCTTTTATGGCAAGCATGGGTTGCTGAAGACCTATTCTAGCCTGGATCTTCAGGAATTTTGTATGCAATAATCCATCCTATCAATATCAATAACCATTGTATTTGTTTCTGATCTTCAAAGATAAAACTTATTTCAACCAAGGATACAGTTCCCCATATTCCAAAATATTGTCAAATAATTCCTTTTGTCTTATCGTATGATAAGCAAACAACAAATCAAAAACATGAATACCTTTCTATTGAGATTGGGATTATACACATTCTCCACATTGCTGGGCTGCTGGAAGAAGGAGCAGGTTTGGGTGTATCGGTCTTCGCTGTTCTGGTAGCGCTCATAATCTTTGCAACAGGACAAAGGCGCCCGACCTTTCCGTTCTTGTTCTTGTTCCTTCTGCCATGTTGACTCATTGTAGTCAAGCGGAGAGGAGCCGCCACAACACTTCAGCTGAATCAACAACAAAGTCACCAGGAGGTCATTATAAAGCCATATCTCCCAGCCAGCCAGACAATACAACTTGTTTTACAGTTTTATGTTTTAAATATCCTAATATGGGGAAGAATTAAATGATAACACAATTATTTGTTTGTGTTCTTCAAAATGTTATCAAAATATATTGGGGTACACAGGCTCACACGAGGGGTACACAGGCTCACAAGAGGGGTACACAGGCTCACACAAGGGGTACACAGGCTCACACAAGGGGTACACAGGCTCACACAAGGGGTACACAGGCACACAAGGGGTACACAGGCTCACACAAGCTCACACAAGGGGTACACAGGCTCACACAAGGGGTACACAGGCTCACACAAGGGGTACACAGGCTTACACAAGGGGTACACAGGCTCACACAAGGGGTACACAGGCTCACACAAGGGGTACACAAGCTCACACAAGGGGTACACAGGCTCACACAAGGGGTACACAGGCACACAAGGGGTACACAGGCTCACACAAGGGGTACACAGGCTCACACAAGGGGTACACAAGCTCACACAAGGGGTACACAGGCACACAAGGGGTACACAGGCTCACACAAGGGGTACACAGGCTCACACAAGGGGTACACAGGCACACAAGGGGTACACAGGCCCACACAAGGGATACACAGGCTCACACAAGGGGTACACAGGCTCACACAAGGGGTACACAGGCTCACACAAGGGGTACACAGGCTCACACAAGGGGTACACAAGCTCACACAAGGGGTACACAGGCTCACACAAGGGGTACACAAGCTCACACAAGGGGTACACAGGCACACAAGGGGTACACAGGCTCACACAAGGGTACACAGGCACACAAGGGGTACACAGGCTCACACAAGGGGTACACAGGCTCACACAAGGGGTACATCACACAAGGGGTACATCACACACGGGGTACACAGGCTCACACAAGGAGTACACAGGCTCACACAAGGGGTACACAGGCTCACACAAGGAGTACACAGGCTCACACAAGGAGTACACAGGCTCACACAAGGAGTACACAGGCTCACACAAGGGGTACACAGGCTCACACAAGGAGTACATCACACCCTATATCCCGAGGGTTCAGTTGACAACAAATCTATCTTTCCAACATTCATACAGGTCCGTAATAAATATCCACAGTTTCGCTGACTTTCGCAAATGATGCAATCAAACAGAGTTACTTCCCTTTAACCAATGTATTTGGATAAACATTGGTTCATTTCAACTCAGTGATTCTTATCTAAAGTATGCAAGTTACCTACGATTGGTTCTGATTGATTTCTCAGCAAGCTACATGAAGAGGCTAAATAGAAAATAACTCCCTGCTACTTTACCAATCAGAAGATAGTATTTTAATGTGAGGTGAGATTATGGCATATATGTGTTAGACATGTAATAAGTTATCTCGCATGTATACCTCATCGTGTAACCTATTACAATGTCCGGAAGAGTTCAATTGCATTCACTAATGTACGTTAAACCATGGCTCCTGTGTCCTGAACCAACTGAACTGTTAGTTAAACACGGCACCGCAGTGACAGAACTCCTTGTTTTCACTATCATTTCTCTTGATGACAGAACAATTTCACGAAAAACATGTCTCACCACCTGTATTTGGGAACCTACGAAGTCTGCACCTAAGGCTAACAAATGCCTTCTTTACAACCAAGTCAGCAAGTCTGACCACCCGATCCCGTTAGTCGCCTCTTCCGACAAGCATGGTAGCTCACTGAGATACCATGCCGCAGTTTAACATGAATACCCCACTCAGACACAGTATACTGACTCCGACCAGTCCTTGTTTTAGCCCCTTAATGCCAAGCGCCAGACACAGGGTAACAACAAGTACCATCTTTTAACGTCTTTTGGTATGACGCGGCCGGGGATCAAGCCCAGGACCTTCCGCTCTCCGGGCGGACGCTCTACCACAAGACCACGGAGGCGGTCTGCATGGCTAGTGGACATGACAGGTAGGATCATCTTACCTCGGACTGCATGAGATCAATGACGTATGTGGCCCTGTCAAACTTGATGCCCTTGTAACGCTGCTGGATAAACTGTCTCACCAACGTTCCTCGAGATATCGTCTCTTCCAACTGGAAACATATCCACTTCATGACACCAAATTTGCTACCAAATTAATGCAATACAATGACATTGTTAAATTAAAAACAGTTAAACCATGGTAACTCAAATACTAAATATATTTAAGATGACTCATATTATGGCCCCCAAAACATCCTTACAGGCACCATGGTATATTATGGACTGGTATAATATCAGCACTCCACTTGTTACAGTACAATTTCATATATTTTCAGTGGTCCTTGGAGTTAATTAGGTTTCAAAGAGCTACAGATAAGCAGTGTATTTTCGTAAAATACCCCCCAAAAATATTCAAAACCCAATTACTTTCAATTAACTTGTGTGCAGAAACGCATGCATTAAATGAAAAACTCAACTGTATAAACAGAACACGTAAATACCAAATGAAGATATTTCAGCATGCGTACAAAGGAGCTAATCTCCGAAACACAATTACGAGCTAATTTTGTTTCCGAGTCAGGCCTATATATTTAGAACAGTTATCACTGTTATAAACATCTAAAACATTATTTCATTTTTTTAAAATCTTAAAATATTCACTCTTTGGAGGGAAAACCCAATAGAATAATGAATAGATAAGTGAAAAATTATTGGTTACCCAATGAAAAATGTAATAATCCAGTTAAAATAGAAACCCTAGAGTAAAAACTCAATTGCTCAAAAAGTTATCTGCAGCTCTGGTTTCACTGTACATAACTTTCTCAGTTTAGACTAAAAATGAGTCCCCCAAAATTCTTTTGGTTTTACTGTGTGAATGACAGTCCACAAAATAATAAAGTTCAATCCAATAAAAGAGTGAGTGAGTGAGTATGCTTTTACGCTGCTTTTAGCAATATTTCAGCAACATCACAGCGGGGGACACCAGAAATGGGCTTCACACATTGTACCCATGTCGGGAATCGAACCCGGGGCTTCAGCGTGACGAGCGAACACTTTAACCACTAGGCTACCTGACCGCCCCTCCAATAAAAGAGAACAGAGAGCATGTTAGGACCAGAAGCTGGTACGTTTTGGCACAGGCTTTAGCATGTTTTGGGGCAATGACATGAGGTAGGCACAGAACAAAGTACAGATATTCAATTATTTTTGCCACATGAATCTTGACTAAACTAAAATAGGTGTGTCCTGGTCTTCCTGATTACCTCTTCTCGGTAGACAATTCCGTAAGCCATTCCTGCCACAGTGAGGATGATAGCCAGCACCATTGCCACAATGAACTGCAAGACAACATCAGGAGTCAGTCAGTCAGTTAGTTAGTTACCGTATTTCCTCTAATAGACGCCGGCCTCTAATAGAAGCCTGGTCAATTGTTCAGTGCAAAAAATAGACGCCGGGTCAATCAATTGATACAATTAATTATCCCTTTTTGGGACCTAAATTACATAATGAGGACTCCCTTTCTCTTCCGGTAACTCCACGTGTGTCGGAAAATATTTCCATTTCGTGACGATTCGTGACATTCGTGGTCATAGTAAAGGGGTGAGTGAGTTTGGTTTAACGCCGCTTTAAAACAGTATTCCAGTTATATCACGGCGTGTCAGCTTAATGTGGGAGGAAAGCCCGAAGTGATGCAGGTCTCAGACGATTACCACTTTGGTGAAATCCACGAGCACGGGTATGGTGCTGACAAACCTAGAAACATACTTGGGGCAAACTGGGATTTGAAACCACCTTAGACGACTGGGCCACCCGTGCCCCCAAGAAGAAGAAGAAGAAGAAGAAGATTTTTTAATAGGATCGTTAGTTGCAATAAAAATATAATAAGAATATTAAAAAGACTACAATATTGAGATCTCATAAAAGAACAAATAGTTTTGGTAATGAGAGGTAAAATGTTTCCTAACTTCCATTTTCATAATAACTAATTTGTTTTAATTTTGTATTGAAATTACCCAACACTCTATGAAAGAAGGGAAGAGATTAAGACTTATCTAGAGTTTCAATTCTATTCCATATTTGTGAAAGTTTGAATCAGCAAATGTACAAGCAGGTAGACAAAAACAGCCTCAGAAGCCTATGCCATTGTTTACATCTCACAAAAACATTTACCGTATTCGATGTAATAAGCGCCCAGGGCGCTCTCAAAATTAGAAATGGGGGCTCTTATTAGAGTATTATTTTGTTGGAAAAAAGAGAGTTGAAAGATAAATTTCGTGGTTTAAGCTGACACACTGAAATGTTTATATGCGACAGATACATTTTTCCAAAATTTAATTGCCCATAATTAAGAATGCATATAAAACACAAGTGCGTATTATACGCGAATAAATAAGTCTTGTGTACATTGATCAATCGGAAGGAGTGCTAATTTGGATTGTTCACTAGCCACTATATTAGCAAATATCGTCTTGGGCGCTTATTAGAGCAGGGAGCTTATTACGTCGATTACGGTAACTCTTTTGACATCCATTTGCAATTCAAGTGTAATTTTATCCCTGCCCTACATATGCCAAATTTTCTGGGTAGTTTCCTTGGTCAAATGTAACAAAAAATATAAACTGCCCTTCCTTCACTGAAACTTCAGGTTCTTATTTCCTTTTGGTACATTGAATGACGTTTCTTAGTTGATGCTATGCCTTTACTGGTGACCTTTCATAACATGTCGTGGCAAAACATTAAACAAACTTTAAAACAGCTGTTCTACTAACACGCTTATCCAAACGGCTCAAAATACAATCCTAACTCCATCAATAAATCCCCCCTGTTTCAAGATGGCTCAAGCAGCCACTGTTCTGATGTTTGTTCAAGGTCATTGGCAATGCTTTTTGTCCAAAAGCTTATCACAAGTTATCTTCTAAGCTTCATATTGTGATATATGCCAGGGCAGTGTTCTTAAATCCATATTTAATCCTATACTTTTTCATTTAATCATATTCATACCTTTCTTGTTATAATCCATTCAAGTGAATTAATTCTTTACATAGGAATGTAAAAGAACCTTTTTGCCCAAGCATCACAAAGGCATTTATTTGAAATTAAACAGTGACAGCGAAGTGGCATTTATTCAAGGCTGAACTTAAGACAAGAATTCACATCAAATATCTGGAAGGTTTTTACTTGAATTTGAATGAGTTACAACAGCAAACACATTTGATGTAAACGTAAAAACAGAACGGATATGGGAACAGTCACCGGTTTGGAAATTCTAGGACATCATGGAACACAAACTAACAAATACTTATCCCAGTAGTTTTTGATTTGTAAATATTCCACAAACAAAAAACAGCCATTTATTTTTAGTCCTTTGATATGTCTTCCTGTCTTGGCAACAACACATGTCCTGTACTTTTCAGCCTAATGAGTTAGGAAAGCCCAACATGTTTCCTTTGGCAGGTCACAAAACTAATTACCATCCCTGGACAATGAAGAAAACAGTGTATTACAGCTGCCACCTTTGTTATATTGTATGGTATCACCTCTCTTACATTGTATCATACTGCCTCTCTTATATTGTATGTATCGCCTCTCTTATATTGTATGTATCGCCTCTCTTATATTGTATGTATCGCCTCTAGTATCGTATCTCTCTTATATTGTATGTATCACCTCTCTTATATTGTATGTATCGCCTCTCTTATATTGCATCATACTGCCTCTCTTATATTGTATGTATCGCCTCTCTTATATTGTATGAATCGCCTCTAGTATCGTATCACCTATCTTATGAAGTAGTGTCATATCTCTCTTTTATTGTATGGGATCACCTCTCTTAGATTGTATTGTATTGCCTCTCTTGTATTGTAGCGTATCACCTCTTTCATATTGTATCGTATCACCTCTCTTAGATTGTATTGTATTGGCTCTCTTGTATTGTAGCGTATCACCTCTTTCATATTGTAGCGTATCACCTTAGATTGTATTGTATTGCCTCTCTTGTATTGTAGCGTATCACCTCTTTCATATTGTATCATATCACCCCTCTTAGATTGAATTGTATTGGCTCTCTTGTATTGTAGCGTATCATCTCTTTCATATTGTATCATATCACCTCTCCGAAGTTGTATCAAATCACCTCTCTTATATTGTATAGTGAGTGAGTGAGTGAGTGAGTGAGTGAGTGAGTGAGTGAGTGAGTATGGTTTTATGCCACTTTTAGCAATATTCCAGCAATTGAGGACACCAGAAATGGGCTTCACATATTGTTGGTTGGTTGGTTTGTTGTTTTACGCCACACCCAGCAATATTCCAGCTATATGACGGCGGTCTGTAAATAATCGAGTTTGGACCAGACAATCCAGTGATTAATGCCATGAGCATCGATTCACGCCATTGGGATCGATGACATGCATCAACCAAGTCAGCGAGCCTGACCACCTGATCGCCTTTTACGACAAGCATAGTCACCTTTTACGGCAAGCATGGGTTGCTGAAGACCTATTCTACCCCGGAATCTTCACGGGTCTCACATATTGAAACTATATTTTATCAAAGGTCAAATATACTGATATAGGTGAAGTACAATGAACACTCTGTTTCAGTCTCCTCATCAGCTGCTCATTGCAAGATGGCTTTAAATGTGGTATGAAAGCCCCAAAGTGAAGCAGGTTTAAGATGTTTGGTGAAACCCCTCAGTGTGGGTCTGGTTCCGACAGAGAGGGATCATAATCGGAACGACTCGGGGACAGGAACACATGGCCAGTGGACCTTTGTGCAACTAAAGGATGAAACCTGCACAGCAAATTGTCGTGCCTAGTGTCAGTGTTTCCCATGGCTTTTAGAAGAACAAACACAATGAAATACTGGACATTCCTACATATTACCAGTACCATTCAACCTTTCATATTCATACCAAACAGAGTAAGTTCAAAGCAAATGTTGATAAATAAATATTTCTCAGTGTCCATATCCTCAGTTTGTTTCCTTTGTTGTTTAATGCCACACTCAGCAATATTCCAGCAATATGACGGCGGTCTGTAAATAGTCGAGTCTGGACCAGACAATCCAGTAATTAACATCACGAGCATTGATCTCCGCAATTTTGATACAATAGCATGCATCAACCAAGTCAGCAAGCCTGACCACCCGATCCCGTTAGTAGCCTTTTACGACAAGCATAGTCTTGATGAACGGTCCCCTGCAGTTTCCCTCCATTGTGATTCACTAACATCTAGTTATGTTCAAATTATAACCCAGAAACAAAATAATATGTGAAGATAATGATGGATTATGCTTACTCATGAGAATTCTCTCATCAAGTGCAGATACGTAGAGCATAATGCTTACTCGTGAGAAATCTCTCATCGAGTGCAGACACGTAGAGCATAATGCTTACTCATGAGAAATCTCTCATCAAGTGCAGACACGTAGAGCATAATGCTTACTCATGAGAAATCTCTCATCAAGTGCAGGTCTGACAAAGATATTTACAAGCGTTTCACATTAATGGAAAAAAACACTAAAAATGTCAAACACTATAAACTCTCACAAACAACAGCATTTTGACAATTACCTCCTGTTTGTGCAATGTTTGTTTGTTGTTTTACGCCACACTCAGGAATATTCCAGCTATATGATGGCGGTCTGTAAATAATCGAGTCTAACCCATACAATACAGTTCTAGACACCATGAACATGATCTAGGTAACTGGGATACGATGACATGTAGCAACCAAGTCAGCAAGCCTGACCACCCGATCCCCTTAGTCGCCTTTTACGACAAGCATAGTCGCCTTTTATGGCAAGCATGGGTTGCTGAAGGCCTATACTACCCCGGATTTTCACGGGTGTTTGTGCAATAATGTTATGCTACTGTCCCATGACACGAATGCTATTCTACAGACGCCATGCTATTGTCTGAAGACATAATGTCATGGTGAGGCTAACGAACAATTGAAAAACGTCATTTGCAACATTGTGAGTGAGTGAGTGAGTATGGTTTTACGCCGCTTTTAGCAATATTCCAGCAATATCACGGTGGGGGACACCAGAAATGGGCTTCACACATTGTACCCATGTCGGGAATCGAACCTGGGTCTTCGGCGTGACGAGCAAACGCTTTAACCACTAGGCTACCCGACCGCCCCTTTCACAGCCTGGTTTACACCTGTAAGTAATACTCACAACCACAATGGCCCATTTGATGGCTCTCACTGCAGCTACAATTCCAAGGATGGCAAAGCCGACGATGAGGCCTCCAACGACAATGAAGATGTAGAGCAGGATAAGATAGCGGTACAGTTCCTCATCCACTTCCAGGTACTCATTGGACCAGAAGTCCAGGCGGAACCACAGCAAGATGCCAAATATCACTGCCCCCAGGAGCTGCAGGAAAAACAAGACGGTTATTATATAAAAAATGAAGCAAGAAATTCAGTGAACTTCCTGGAGACAATCGAAGTTGGGTCGTTAACTTCAGCAACATTTGAAAGGAAATTCTTTGGTATCTTTACCAAATATGCCTGAAAATCACCTGGGCTATTCACAGCAAAAGAACACTTTTCTTGATTATTTGTTTTTCTTTCTTAATAAAATTTCTAAATAACATTCGGTTTGGCGAAATGGATACATGTAAACTAAATATTAAGCTGGATCCAAATTTATCAGAAAAACTTTATGATTTGTTTGTGTTTTTCCACATCCTGCTTAAACCAGGTGAGTTCATTTATGGAGGAAGCATGTGACGTCATCCACAGTAGCATGACGTCATCCCACTTCAGCAGATGACCGGAAATTTTATCATCTGAACCTTCAGCAAATGTCATCATTTCCAAAAGAAACTCTTTGAATACAAAATCTGCATACCTGAAAACACATAAAGTTTATCCCCTAATAGCAATCACTCAAAATTCCCATATGGTAAAGTTTCGGGTACAGGGGCCTATTCTCCCCCTGAACCCCCCGGGGCAACATAGTCATGTTGTCTGTTGTCTGTTGCCTCAACAACAACACTGCCGCCCCTCTATCGTGTGATCAATGTAAAACAAGATCACACAGATAGTATGCTGTATAATTCATAACCATCAGTTATTGATGTACTTGAAGCAGGCATAGAAAGACAGAAATAACATCTGCCCAACAATCACTCCTTCACTGAAACACTTCCTGCATAGTCAATCAGGGATTTCATGACGCTGCTATTGCATGGACAATTCTACCAAAACTGTTCTGCAGATACAAAGTAGAAATTGCAGTCAATACACCAGCAAGTTCAGGGCTCTGTATTGGCAAAACAATTCATTGAAATATACTGCGATACTGGAATCCGTATTGCATTATGTACTGCAACATATTGTGGGGTAACGTGTTTGACAGTGATTGACACTGATTGTGTATGCAGATCCTAGTTTCTACTTTGGTTGGTTGATTTGGTGTTTTACGCTGCACGCAGCAATATTGCAGCTATATGGCGTAGGTCTGTAAATAGTAGGGCTGCAACGATTACACTATGAGGTGAATACGATTCATATCACGAATATAGGGTAACGAATACGAATATTTATTCACGAATACAATAACAAGTCAGCAGTTGATGTACAATTTATTATATTCAGTGAAAAATAACAACATTAATTATTTGACATGGTTGGTTAATTATTAATATATTATACATTCATATACAGCATTTATCCAGGTACTAGTATCTGCTCAAATACCACAATGACTGATGACCACAATACTGTCAAATTATATATATGAGTGTTGTCTTTAAAGAAATCTCTGCATATAATATGTTCGATTCACCGAAAACGCGAGTGTATCGTAACAGCCATAGTAAATAATCAAGTCTGGACCAGATAATCCAGTGATTGACATCATGAACATCAATCCACCCACTTGGGATCGATGACATGCAACAACCAAGTCAGGGAGCCTGACCACCAGATCCTGTTAGCTACCTCTTACGACAAGCATAGTCGCCTTTTACGACAAGCATAGTTTCTACGTACTAAAGTAAATATTACGATGTCAGCATGGTCAGTCATCACCACCGTGAGAGTTTGTTTGTTTGTTTGTTTGTTGTTTAAAGCCACACTCAGCAATATTCCAGCTATATGACGGCGGTCTGAAAAGTATCAAGTCTAGACCAGATAATCCAGTGATTGACATCATGAGCATCGATCTACGCAATTGGGATATCAACCATGTCAGCGAGCCTGACCACCCGATCCCATTAGTCGCCTCTTACGACAAGCATAGTCGCCTGTTATGGCAAGCATGGGTTGCTGAAGTCTTTTCTACCCCGCATCTTCACGTGTAACCACCGTGAAAGAAAAATCACTTCTGTGTTACGCATTGGTCTATCCATTTCGAAGGGAAACTGATTTTAGGTTTAACAATACAAATAATAACGAGACTTGTCACATATTTCTTACCCAATCTACCGGAACACAAGAAAAAATATTGCAATACGTATCGTTTGAAAAGCATATTGCAGCATAGCGGTAATAACTTGCAGTCCTTAAATAGTGATGTTTGCTCATGAAAGCAGTTGGAGACCTGTCTGGAGATTGATTGGAACTTTCTTTCTAGTCAGCTCAGCTTGTAATAATCAATATATAACACAAGTAAAACATACACAGGAATTACTGCATCACAAGTTGGGACAAGTTGTTTTTGCATAGACTGAAGGAGAGACTTAGGATGTTTTACCCTCGTCTGTTTAACTACAAGTGCACACTGTTCTTATGACTTTCCATATTCCTGACTTGATAAACATTATTCTCAGAATGATTTCCATACCATCTGCAAATTTCTCAAGTTATTTAGGGAATGTTGACAGAGAAAACTCAAACCCAAATACTAGAAGTCTATTGGGAAACTAAACACTTGGATATTAGAAATGTATTATGCACATAAACATTTCTTTGTGAATTACACAGAGTATTTTAGGTCAACCTGCACTTTACACTGTGCCCAAAATACATGCCACGTAGTTGAGGCTTGTCTGATATGGAGTTGGTATGAATGTTCCTGACATTGCCAAAATTGGGCCCTATTTTTTCAGTCTTGGGATTAATTTCAATGGAGATTTAAAATAATACTCCAGAATATTCTGTATGTTAAGAATACAGGAGCGAGTCTGGACCCAATCTGTTCTGACAGGCATGCAGGAGACGGAAGAGGGAAATATTCCCGCTTGGATTGTCCATTCATCCCTTGGTGACTGGCTGACGGAAGCCACAATCAATGAGTCTGGGACAAAGACTCCGGTGACATGAAATTGATTGACGCATTTTACTCCAGTTTGATTCATTTTGCAAGAACAAAATATTTAGAGAGCCTGGACGTATTTCCAAATGATTATGATGAATAAAGTGATCATTGACACAGTATTGAGTACTGGACAAGGTATTAGTACATGTCTCTCTAATATCAGGTGTTGAGTTCTGTGTCCATACATATCGCGTCCAAGTTAATAGATCCCAATCAGCGCGTCCAAGTTACATAGATCCCAATCTTATTTATGCTCAACTATGGCATGTGATTTAGCAATCGTGTGATCTGTAATATTGATTGATTTGACATTGAACTGTGTTAAAATGGCCAGTTTAGAAATTGAATTTCATCTTATATAAATTACTATTCATGAAATATTAGGTTTGGGTTTTCTGCAAAGCAATTAGTTAATCAATACACTGTATTCCGGCCTCATCCTTCTAATTTATTACAAAAGGTTTGTCAACAAACAATAATTGAAATATTAACATATCGAACATACTTGATTCTTATACTGATCAATAATAATTAGTGTGTGATAATGTGAACAATGGACCAGACAAACCAGTGTGTTATAATGTGAACAGTGAAACAGACAAACCAGTGTGTGATGATGTGAACAGTGGACCAGACAAACCAGTGTTATAATGTGAACAATGGACCAGACAAACCAGTGTGTGATAATGTGAACAATGGACCAGACAAACCAGTGTGTGATAATGTAAACAATGGACCAGACAAACCAGTGTGTGATAATGTGAACAGTGGACCAGACAAACCAGTGTGTGATAATGTAAACAATGGACCAGACATACCAGTGTGTGATAATGTGAACAGTGGACCAGACAAACCAGTGTGTGATAATGTGAACAGTGGACCAGACAAACCAGTGTGTGATAATGTGAACAGTGGAACAGACAAACCAGTGTGTGATAATGTGAACAGTGGAACAGACAAACCAGTGTGTGATAATGTGAACAATGGAACGGGAAACCAGTGTGTGATAATGTGAACAGTGGACCAGACAAACCAGTGTTATAATGTGAACAATAGACCAGACAAACCAGTGTGTGATGATGTGAACAATGGACCAGACAAACCAGTGTGTGGTAATGTGAACAGTGGACCAGACAAACCAGTGTGTGATAATGTGAACAATGGAACAGACAAACCAGTGTGTGATAATGTGAACAATGGAACAGACAAACCAGTGTGTGATAATGTGAACAGTGGACCAGACAAACCAGTGTGTGATAATGTAAACAATGGACCAGACAAACCAGTGTGTGATAATGTGAACAGTGGACCAGACAAACCAGTGTGTGATAATGTAAACAATGGACCAGACATACCAGTGTGTGATAATGTGAACAATGGACCAGACAAACCAGTGTGTGATAATGTGAACAATGGACCAGACAAACCAGTGTGTGATAATGTGAACAATGGACCAGACAAACCAGTGTGTGATAATGTAAACAATGGACCAGACAAACCAGTGTGTGATAATGTGAACAGTGGACCAGACAAACCAGTGTGTGATAATGTAAACAATGGACCAGACATACCAGTGTGTGATAATGTGAACAGTGGACCAGACAAACCAGTGTGTGATAATGTGAACAGTGGACCAGACAAACCAGTGTGTGATAATGTGAACAGTGGAACAGACAAACCAGTGTGTGATAATGTGAACAGTGGACCAGACAAACCAGTGTGTGATAATGTGAACAGTGGAACAGACAAACCAGTGTGTGATAATGTGAACAGTGGAACAGACAAACCAGTGTGTGATAATGTGAACAGTGGAACAGACAAACCAGTGTGTGATAATGTGAACAATGGACCAGACAAACCAGTGTGTGATAATGTGAACAGTGGAACAGACAAACCAGTGTGTGATAATGTGAACAGTGGAACAGACAAACCAGTGTGTGATAATGTGAACAATGGAACGGGAAATCAGTGTGTGATAATGTGAACAGTGGACCAGACAAACCAGTGTTATAATGTGAACAATAGACCAGACAAACCAGTGTGTGATGATGTGAACAATGGACCAGACAAACCAGTGTGTGGTAATGTGAACAGTGGACCAGACAAAC